GGTTACTTCTGCCTCCTTCATTGTTAACAGTGAATTAGGTTTCATATTCCTGCAGTGGGCACTATCCCAGCATCTCACCACTTACTTTGAACTCAGGACAAATGGAAGTCAACTACAGCACCCACCGCTCCACTGCTCGTCAGTCCTGTCTCTACACCAGAGCATGGCCAATACCCCAAGTAGATTTTGCCCCAAACTTCATCTCCCTCCCCCTGCTCTGATTGTGCATTCCTGCCCTGGCAATGGGCAAGAGATGTGAGGCGTGTTTTTGGAGTTGGGTTCAGTGGGCACCTGGAGGAGCTGGAGGTGAAGTCACTTATTGGTCCCAGATCATTTGTTGGGTGTAATGAAATATTTATTGCTGCTTTGAGGATGACAGCCATTCAGAGAGTGTGTACTGTTAAGACAAGAGTATGTTTCTTTTCAATGAGCTCCAAACAGCTTTCTGGCAGACTAACAAATACTATGCCAGCAAACAGGGAGTCAGGGAAAATTGGCCTTTTCTGTAGGAAAGGAAATTGAGTGTATACTGAACTTTGGGTCTGCTTGGAGCATGTTTTTGGTGAGACACACCTGGAGTACTGAGCGCAGTTTTAGTCTCCTTATCTCAGGGAAGGATGTTCTGATGATGGAGGGAGTGCACTGGACATTTACCAGACTGATTCCCGGGATGGCAGGACTGACGCATGACGAGAGTAAATTGGTTCTTCAATGAAGTTTATAAGAATAATTGGGTCGGGGGTGGGGGTGTAGCGTGGTGGGATCTCATAGGAACCTATAAAATTCTAACAGGGCTAGATAGGGTAAACACAGGAAGGACGTTTCTCATGACTGGGGAGTTCAGAACCAGAGGGTCGCAGTCTAAGGATATGGTGTAGAACATTTACGACTAAGGTGCGGAAGAAATGTCTTCACCCAGAGAGTGGGGAGCCTGTGGAATTCTCTTCCACAGAAAGCAGTTGAGGCCAAAACATGGAACGTTTTCAGAAAATAGTTGGATATAGTTCTTTGAGATGAAGAAATCAGAGGGTATGGGGGAGAAAGCAGGAACAGGGGACTGGATTGGATGATCAGCCATGATCATATTGAATGGCAGAGCAGGCTTAAAGGGCTGAATGGCCTAAATCTGCTCCTAGTTTATTTTTTATGTTTTATTGCACAGGTGAAGACTTGTTGAATGACTGAATCTTTGAACATTTTTCAGAGTGATTCAATTCAGAAAAGCTTAACCTGTGACAGACCAGACACTTGTCATTGTTTTTGTTCGATAGCACTCAGTCACCTCCTGTCCGCTACCTCATTTCCTGCCCGGATACATTTACTGCCATCGATCTTTCTGCAATCCACTTTGGGGCCCCAGACCATCAGGAACTCCTGTTCTACTCTTGCTGACCTTTGAACTTTCTCTGCACCCGGTTACTATGACCCATGAACTGACTGGTCCAAAAGAGGGACTAATTCCCTTGACTGATAATCTGCACAATATTGAGGCCAAGTCTGGCTTGCGCTACCTCGTTTCAAACCTGCAATGCCAGGAGAATTTGGGGTGGGAAGCAAGGAGGGAACAAGTCAGGATCTCACAGGAATCCTTGGCAAGGCAACCAGGGTGAGAGAACTGTTTAATTTGCAGGGTATTTTTTATAGGTGCTACCTTTTGGGGTGGAACATTTTAGCTTGGCACTGAAAAGCACTGGCAGCCAACAAATAGGCTTGTTTGGTGCCCCTCGGCTTTAGCAGTCAGTATGATTTAAATGCATTATGCACAGCTCAGATATAGTGCACCAAAGATGTCTTCCCTCTCAATTCTTGGTCAATCTCAGGTTCTCTTTTTACATGAAATACAGGAGTCATTCAGTCTCTTCAGCTTGCCCTGCTGATCAATAAGATGTTGGCCACTCAACTTCTCTGTCTCTCTGACCCCCGACCCGAACCCCCTCCATCCCATGAGAGACCAAAATATTTATTGAGACCCCCGTCTTCAGTATACCCAATGATTGAATATCCATAGCCCTCTGGGATAGAAAGTTCAAGAGATTCGTGACCCTCTCAATGTGGCTTTTGATGGTCCACTGGATTCAAGGCACCGTGAGAACAGACTAGGTAGAGAAGACAGCCTTAGATTTGATTCCCATCACACAGTCAACTGCCCAGTGTTGGGTTGGGACAGCAGTTGAGTGCTAAAGTTGGTTGGCCTTATGTTTTTGGGTTGGAGAAAGTAGAGTCAGGTTGCTGGCCGTAGATGAGGGAATTGTTGTCAGGCAGGAATGCTGCTTCAGATCACTTCCAAAGGATACATGCTATGTATCAGCATGGTTTGGAATTGAACTGGACTAGCTTACCCTGCTTGGTAGGGTAACTAGATAAGAAAGAGTAGGTGATGATGCCAGATATCAGTGAAAATGTAATCTAACAAATGCCCACACCTTCAAGAAAAATGGTGAGAGGAACAGAAGGGCTGGGTTGGAGATAGAAGGGATACTGACGGACAGGAATTAAATCTGTCTCAGATTTTCTCCCTGCACTGTGCTATGTTACCAGTCATCCATTTACTAAAGTATGAAGCACAAGTCAGTCCGTCTTCCGCATCTGCATTTGTTTATATTTCCCAGTTCAATGCAAACTTCAGTCTGCTCTCTCCCACTTCCCAGCAACTCCCCCTACTGGGGAAAACCAGCTCTTCAACATTTGCTCCAGTCAGTATCCGCTGCTATCTATTATCTGTGGAGCACGTTCTAGTTCTATCTTAAAGGGGCTGTCATTACAACACTGCACTGGCACAAGCCAAGGTATTTCCCTTAGTATAGCTGTGCCAGTGCTGTTGCTTTGGTTTCCCCTTATTGCTGTGCCAATGATTCCATTGCATGTACTCCCAAGAACACAGCTCTTTTTATTTGCTGTTTGTCCCACTCTTTTCTCCCTTGCACCTCATCTCTGTTAGGGCACGCAGGGCACTGCTGCTCCTGGAAGCAGTCAGCCCCACTTCTCACAGCTGGCCTGAGTGGAGCAGCCATTGGAAAGTTAGTTTCCTGGCTTTTTTATCCAGCGCCATGCCCTGCAAAAACTAGCAGTCTACAGTATTCGTTGGGAATAGTGGTTTGTGTTGGGGGTTGGAGTATGGAATGCACAGCAAGGATTGGCGTTGTGTGGGGAGGACTTATTCAAAGTCTGACTCTCCTTTCCCTCTCGCTTAGTTTAATATTCAACCTCTGGATTTGGGCATCATTGGCAAGGCCAATTTGTTGGCTATCCAGATTGCCCTTTATTCAGAGGCTTGCTGGGCCATTTCAGGGGGCAGTTAAGAGTCAGCAGAATTGCTGTGGGTCTGAAGTCACATGTAGGCCAGACCAAGTAAGGATGGCAGATTTCCTTCCCTAAAGGGCATTAGCGAACCAGATGGGTTTATACAGATCTGGCAGTTTTATTACCAATGCTAATATAAATATTTCATTGCACATTTATTTATGAACTGAGTTTAAATTTCCCAAGGACTATGGTGGGCTTTGAACTCCTGCCTGCTCTAGATCATAACCATAAGATGTGGCGGCAGGTGTATGCTCCACAGTTTAAGGAGATCATGGCCGATCTGATAATAACCACATCTGTTGCCTTTGTTGGGACTGCCACTCCATGTCATCCTGAGTTCCCTTTAACAGTGAGCCCTCCCACACTGCATACTGAGGACAGTTGATAGCCCAGAGCAGGAGAAAGCCCTTAGTTCCTGTAGCTCTTAGTTCTCCCTTTTGTGGCACGTTTTCAACCAAGCATCTATAGCGTATGTGTGTGGGCGCATGCGTCTGTGTGTGTGTATGTGTGCACGTATGTGTGTGTGTCTGTGCGTGTGTGTGTGTGTGTGCCTGAGTGTGTCTGTGTATGTGTCTGTGCATGTGTGTCTGTGCTTGTGAGTCTATGCATGTGTGTGTATGTGTGTGTCTGTGTGTATGTGTCTGTATGTATGTGTGTGTGTATGTACATGTGTCTGTGTCTGTATGTGTGTGTGTCTGTGCGTGTGTCTGTGTGCGTGTGTCTGTATGTATGTGTGTCTATGCATGTGTCTGTGTGCGTGTGTGTGTGTTTGTTTGTGTGTATGTGTCTGTATGTATGTATGTCTGTGTGTGTCTGTGCCTTCACAAGATTCCTTTGTCCCTTCCCTGCTGTTCGGGTGGCCTCCCTAACACAGTAACATGCCTGCCTGCTGAAAAAGACCCTGTGACAATTGTAGAGGCTCTGTTAGGGAAAGGTGACACAGGTCACCACATTAATGGCCAAGTGAGGAAGTAAGAACGTTGCTCATTTTCCTGCCGTGGGTACTGGCATCCTGCAGGAAGGACCACAAGCAGGACACAGACTTAGCTGGGCACTGCCTTCAACACAACAGAAAACGCAGGCATGCCCGGCACAAATTCCCTCCAGGTGCGGGATCTCAACTCCCCTGTCATTGCACAGGCCCCACAGCCGTGAGATTGCTATACAGCCTTGTTTGCCAGTCGGTGAGTTCGTTGGTACTTAGCTGGCAGTTGGAGGTGGGGGGTTGAGCTGCACAAGCAGCAACAACAAAAGAAGTTCCTGAGCTTCATTCAGAATTGACGCAATAAAACAAATGCTTTTGGACTCGTTCAGGATGAGATTTCCATGTCCCTCTGAAGGATCTGAGCTGTACCTAATGCATCTAAATAGTGGAAAGAGTGCAGAACTAATGCATGGTTGAACCAGGGTTCGGTAGACTGTTGGAGGAGATGGCAGGAGGTTATTGGTATCGGCAGCAAGCAGGAAAATTGGGATGCCCTGATTCCATAGTCTCTGCACCTCTCTGGGAGCGGGCTGCAATTCTGTATTGCTGGTGGTTTCAGTCTGCTGTGTGTCCTCGTACACGACTTTTCTCAAACTTCAGAGTCCTAGACTTGCTGTTTTAACGTGGTGTGATGTACAAGGGCCCAAGCGTTGGCCCCTGGTGGTAATTGTGTGCCGGCTGGACAATGATGAAGGCTCCCTGTGTCTCACAGGGTTTGCTGATTATGGTTTCTATTCCACGCCCGGCGATCAGCGGGCCACTTTCTCGTTTGCGGACTACGGCTCAGTCGGACTGCGGGCTGCTCAGATGCTGCGCAGCGAGCACGCTCCGTCAGCAAGCAGCCCCTCCCTGCACCATCTAACCAATGCGGATCAGTTTAAGAACCCAGGTTTGTGCTCCACATTCATTTCTTACGGTGGTGGTGAGGCGGAGGGAGGGAGGGAGGGGGGGTGCGGGAGAGGTTGGGGAGGGAGGAGGGGAGTGGGGTGACGGCTGGGTATATGGGGGGGTCGGTGGTGATGGGAGCGGGGAGCGCGGTGGAAAGGTGTGTTGGTGTGGTGAGAGTGGGAAACGATCTAATCTAATCTTAGAGCAACACTGCAGGCCTAAAGGCCACATCTCCACGTCTGTCCTGTGTGGCATGTTGTTGGGGAGAGGGGGAGTGGGGACTGTGAGCTGGGGAAGTGGGCTTCATAATCACTTTTGTCTTTTTCACAAGAGGGTAAAAAGATTTTATGCCTCACGTGATTCCCGACCAACCCCGCCACCCGCCTCCCCCACCCAAAAATAGCCATTGATCGATCATTTTATACATCGGTGACAGTAAATAATTATTTTGACTTCTGCATCAAATTGGTGTGTGTGCTGAATATGAAGTGGCCTCTCTCTCCTTTGGATAGTTTCTGTGCTTTTAAAAGGCTTACTATTTTGAGCGGTCATGTGTCTTTTCACCCCCCAGAAATGTTGCAATTTATAAACTTTTACAAAACACACACAGTCTCGACTCACTCTTCTGCCTCTCAGCAGCTCTCATGATATCATGGCGTGTCAATTCTATGGTTCCCTTTTACCTCTCTCCCACCCCCCAGCTTGCTACCCATCAATGCCAGCACAGGGGGAGGGGGTTAGAGATGGTATCCCCACTCCTGAGCCACAGGCTGTGCCGCAAGGTGTCACCAAAGCGGAGACCATTCTGTCTCCTTCCCTGGTCATAAAATCTCGGAATCCCTATGTTTATCGTGGTGACCATCAGTTCTGCGGAAGGGCCACTAGACCTGAAACATCATTTTCTTATCTCTCTCCCCAGTTGCTGGCAGACCTGCTGAGTTTCTCCAGTAATATCTGTTTCTGGGGCCCAGGAATCACTCCCACTCAGTGTGGAAGCAGGCCATTCGGCCCATCGGGTCCACACCGACCCTCCAAAGGGCATCCCGCCCAGACCCCCACCTCTACCCTATTCCAGTAACCATGCATTTCCCATGGCTAATCCCTGGACACTACAGGGCAATTTGGGTAGACAAACAGGAGGCTGGAAGAACACAGTAACCCAGGCAGCATTTGGAGGACAGGAGCAGTTGACGTTTCCAGTATTACCCTTTTTCCTGAAACATTGACTGTTCCTTTCCTCCAGATGCTGCCTCGCCTGCTGTGTTCTTCCAGCCTCCTGTTTGTCTACCTTGGATTCCACCACTGCAGTTCTTTTGTCTCTGTGGGGCCATTTAGCATGGTCCACTCACCTAACCTGGATGAATAAGCGAATTTATGTATTTAATTTTCTTCTACATTTTCCCTGCATTTTGGAGCAATTTCCATTTAGCCCCATTCCTCCCCCCAGCCCCCCACTTTGTGGGCACAGTCAAGGTCAAAGCTGTTCTCCTTGTGATAAGCCGCGATTTGACTGGCTGTTGAACACCACTATACTTTGGCTGGGAATGGAGTGATTTATTTTTCTCTAATCAAAACAGAATTTGGATGTGGGCTGGACCACGGTAAATAGCAGTGGCGACCAGGTGTTTTTTTATTCTTTATTCATTAACAGGATGAGGGCATCATGGCTAGGCAGCATTTATTGCCCATCCCTAATTGCCCAGAGGGCAGTTAAGGGTCAACCACATTAGAAATATAAAGAGGGTTAGGCTGCGAATCCTCAGCACCATCTGAGGAGAGAGACCTCAGGGTGCTGACCTCCCTTGGTTAATAACTTGACATCAGAATCAGTTGAGACCAACGTTTGTCGACCTTAAAAAACGTTAGCCTTGCCTCTGTCTCCACAGGTACTGCTCATCCTGCTGAGAGTTTCCAACACTGTTTTTTTGAAGTCAGCTTCTATCTTCTGCTTTTGTATTGAGGGCAAAGTTGTTTCATCTCTGAAAAGAAATGCTTAAAGGGGCTGTGTCGTCGCTGGGGGGCAGGGGAGAAGGGAAAATAGATTTGGAAATAATTTTAAGCAGCCTGAAAATGTCTCAGTTGGGTGGCACTCCAGTGTTTGATGCCGTGTCTTCACATTAGCATCGCACAAGTGTGAACCTGTGGTCCAGGCCAACACTTTGAGAGTGCGGCACTCTCCAGGGCATTGTCTCTATGGTATTGTGTCAGACTGGTGCCTCATCCATTAGTTCAAGTGGCTGTGAGAACATCCAGAGGCAACGTTTGCAGAAGGTGCAAGGGAGTTGTCCTGGACCCCGACCAAAACACATCTGAACTCATTTAGGATCTTGCTGTGCACATATTGAATGCTACATTTTCCCTTAACACAACGGCACATCAAAGAGAAAAAAACTACTAACTGTAAAACACTTTGAGGTTTTCTGAGTAAGTGAAAACTGCTGTAAGAATGTAAATTCTATTTGTGTAGGGAAATGTCAGTAAGTAAGACATTGGGTAGTGTCCCTGCCTCAGAGGCAGTGGCTCCAGGTTCGAGTTCCACTCCAGGACCTGACGGCTGAGGGAGGTGTGTTTGTAACACAGCCAAATAGGTTGATCATCAACCTGCAAATCCTTCCAGCACACAGCCACAGCCTATGGTAAGAGCGGGAGTGTTTCCTGGCACAGAAACAGGAACTGCTGGAGAAACTCAGCAGGTTTGGCAGCATCTGTGAAGCGAAAGCAGAGTTACCATTTCGGGTCCAGTGACCCTTCTTCAGAACTGATGGTAGCTGGGAAAAGGTTGGTATATATGCTGAAGATGGGGTGGGGGAAAGGAGAAGGAGTAAAGGATAGGTGGAGATGGAGCCCACAGAGAGAGAGAGACAAACAGTTGGGCAGACAAAGGAGCGGGTAAAGATCACCCTGGGAGAATGAAAGGCTGCCAATGGGTCCTTTCAATAGCTGACAATGTTTGTGATAGCAGCCGGTGTGACAACAAGGCCTAGTATGTAGGGGCTGGGGTAAGGACACGGGAGAAGTGCTCAGGCCCTAAAATTATTGAACTCCATATTGAGACCTGAGGGCTGCAGGGTGTCCAAGTGGAAAATGAGGTGTTGTTCTTCCAGCTTGTGTTGGTCTTCACTGGAGCACTGCAGCAAGCCTGAGATAGAGATGTTGGCCAGGGAGCAGGGTGGTGTGTTGAAGTGACAGGCAACTGGAAGCTCAGGGTCACTTGTGCGGACAGAACACGGGTATTCTGCAGAGCAGTCCTGCAGCTTGCGGTCATCCAGTCAGAATTCCTGGTCGGAGATAGTAGGAAAATTTCTGAAGAAGGGTCTAGGCCCTAAACATCAGCCTTCCTGCTCCTCTGATGCTGCTTGGCCTGCTGTGTTCATCCAGCTGTACATCTTGTTATCTCAGAATTCCTGGTCAGCCTTGTTTGTGGAAACTTGGTGTTTCCACTATCATTATCCATATCTCCAGACTGCAATGTGTTGTTATAGCAGCTCGGACACTGAGTGATCTCTAACAGGTCACCCGGTCAATCATTGCAAAGAGATATTTTTACTCACCACCTTACCAAACGTATAAAAGTGACAGAGCAGAGAGACATTTTCTGAAGAAGGATCCCGACCCGAAACGTCAGCTTTCCTGCTCCTCTGATGCTGCTTGGCCTGCTGTGTTCATCCAGCTCTACACCTTGTTATCTCAGAGAGACCTGTTCCCTCCCCATGTCTGATCCACAGCTCAGAATGACATTTCCCAGCTGACCTCCCATTTCCTTGGGTGCACAGAAGTGACAGAAGTGTAGGGTAAAATTCCAGGGTCCAGCAGGGGAAAAATACTCTGGGAAATTCGTTCTCAATACACCCTCCCCCACCACCTTCCCATCTCAGGTGATCAAACCCACTGCAGGAGATCCCATGGACTAAGCACATCCCACAGCAACGTCTCAAAAGTGCTTCACTCCTTGTGACATATTGCCTGCTGTTGACCTCTTCTATTTTATTTGGTGAAAATTGACATTATTTTATTTGATTTTGATTTTAGCATGTTACGTGTACTGAAATACAGTGAAAAGTTTTGTTTATGAGTGGTACAGGCAGATCACAGCAAGCAAAGGATGTACAGATCGAAAAGACTTAGAGGCATACAGGTTACGTAGCAGGTTACATTACTTGAGGTTAGAGTCCATTCAACAGTCTGATAACGGCCAGAAAGAAGCTGTTCCTGAACCTGCTGGTGCGTGTGTTCAGGCTTCTGTATCTTCTGCCTGATGGAAGAGGTTGTGGGAGATCATTACCGGGGTACGATGGGTCTTTGATGATGTTGGCCGCCTTTCTGCGGCAGCGAGCCGTGTAAATGGAGTCCATGGATGGAAGGTTGGCTTCCGTGATGGTCTGGGCTGTGCTCACAACCTTCTGTAGTTTCTACCTGGGATTACTAGTTCAGTGACATTGCCACTATGTTAACACCTCCCCTCTTAGACAACCTCAGAATCTGGTATTGAATTAGCGACATGACTACTCAGTAAAATGATACCACATAACTCCCGTTCCCTATTGTCAGTGAGTTCATGATTCGCTATAGGAACTTGTGTATATAATTAACAAACCAGCCTGGCTACAACATCCAGTCTGTTACAATCCCTGTAGAGATTGATAACTTTCTAAGGCAAATTAATTTCCCAAATGACCAATGGAAGTGAACTTGTAGACAGCATTTCACTTTTTAAGATGTTTAATGTGATGAGTAAATTATAGTCAACATTGATCAAACAATTAAACCAGAGAGTATTTGAGAAACTCAGCAGGACTGCCAGCTTCTGTGGAGAGAGAAACAGAATTAATGTTTTGAGTCTGGTGACTTCTTCCGTACTGTTCTAAAGAAAGGTCACTGGACGGAAAATGTTAATTGTACTTCTCTCTCCACACATGCTGCCAGACCTGCTGAATTTCTCATGTGTTTTCTCTGTTTGATTTGAAATTTCCCGTATCCTTTGACAATCATTCCTCCCCACTG